GCCCGCTAGCGATGTTACCGGAGTACGAGAGGCCGAGGAAATGGCCCACGATGATGCGTCCGCAGGATTACACTTTAGCGCATGTATAACGACTTTAATATGTAAATGTAATGAATTAACGATGACAAGAACGACTAAGTGAATGTATATATATATACATGTATATTATTTCATGTGTAATGTCTCGCATACTTTTTAAGTTTAATCTGGATGTGATTTGAATTTGAATTTGAATTTATATGCTTGATGTATTTTATTTGAATTTATATATATGCTCGCTTTATTTTTTTTAATTCAGAAATAATTTACCGAGCGGGCAAATAATAAAGCCCGCCACGGCAAATCAACATAACCACATGGGCCACAAAAGGTGCCCGCCATGTTAACTTCTATTTATCATGGGTGTAACGTGCTCGCTGGTGTAAAGTATATTTACCGCATGGGCACGTTACACCGCCTCGGCCATAAATAAATTAACCGCATGGCGGCAAAGCCGCCGCCATGCGGTTAAGCCACGATTTATCGTGGCTCGTAGGTCGCATGACGGACGGCTTTGCCCGCCGCGGGAAACCCAAATCGCCCGCCTCCAGTAAACTTTATGTAGTAGTGTGTTGAACTGGTGTCTATCGTGTTAGGCTTATATTATTATTGTTATAAGTAGTACTCGTGATAAGTAGTAATCGTGATGACCATATTGTGCTCAAGTTGCCAAGAGAATTGTTTGGTGTTGAATGTCATGTTTTTTATTGTGCTCAAAGAAGATTTGTTTCTCCATCTACCGCTAAAATGCGCGGAGGATTTGTTCACAATAGATAGATTCAAATTACCTCAAATGACACATGCATGCCTCAACCGCTATTGGCGCCCGACGAGTGGGCCTCCTCTTGCCCATCCTCCTTCCCCAACGCCGCCGAGAGAGAAGCTTCCGCCGGATCCGACCGCCCGAGATAACCTATCTTGCCGCCGCCGCGTCTCCCTCACGCAACTCGGGGGAGAAGGCGGCGCCACCACACGCCACCATGGTTGCAAATGACCGGCATTCTCCGCGTCTAAGAACCGACCCCCAAGCACCGCACAAGCTCCACGCACAAAGACCGCCTGTTTAATTCTACATAGGAATTCCAACGGTAATGCTAGGCATACGCCGTCGATGGGCACCGACGTGGCCCGCGACCGCACATAGCCGCCACACGGAACCAAACCCCACCGCTCACTCCGGTCAAATTCATCATCCTTTTCGCGCACCACATCATCCCGCTTCTCCACTCGACCACTCCTCCCCGCCACTCATCTTCCTCGCCGCCGCCCGCCAAGATCACCGTTTGTTGCCGCCGCCTTTTGTTGCTCCTGTCGTTGCCACGAGATGATGCGGCGCGACGCGCTCCCCACCGCTACGTGGCGCGCTCGCCCAACCTCGACGGCGGACATGGTGGGCTCCCCATGGCGGATCCATGGCAGCACCGGCCTCCCATGGTGGATCCATGGAGCGGCGCAGATCCGGCGGCGACGACGGCCCATCATCCCACCCCATCCATGGAGGCGGCTCGATCTGCCTCCCCCTCTTTACCCTTTATCTTGAGGCTGCAGTGGATTTTTGCGGTGTTGCAATAGTCGTTTTGAGGATGTTGCATCATGTACTTTGTGGATGTTGCAGCTACTGTTTCGAGATGTTGCAACATGGGTTCTTTTGAATGTTGGAAACAATCAATTTTTGAGACGTTGCAAACTCGCTTTTTTCCGATGTAGATTTGTTTATGTTGCAGCATGTGTTTCTCGGATGTTGCAATAGGCGATTTTCAAGATGTTGCAACATGTGTTTTCCGATGTTGCAACTGTCAATTTGAGATGTTGCAACATGGTTTCCTAGATGTTGCAATAGTCGCTCTTAAGATGTTTGCAACAGTTGGTTTCAAGATGTTGCAAGTGTTGATCTAATGTTGCAACTCGCGCCCCTCCCCAACCAAGCGCAGCGACCTCCCCCCCCCCCCCCCTCTCTCTACGCCTAACGTGATCGCGGCCACGGGCAAAGACGCAGGCTTGGGCCTAGTGGGACGTGGGCGCACGTGTTGGGGCGGGACACAGGCATGGTGTCGCGTCAAGGGCGGGCGGTGGGGTGTGCTTGTGCAAGCGTTCATCGGGCGGCGATGGGTGTGCTTTTGCCGGTGTTCGCTAAAGGGGGAGTGTACTTTCTGCAGATGTTCGTGTGACGTCCGATGGATTCCCCCCATCGGACGTCCATGCGCTAGCACGCCCCGAATTCCAAGCTTTAACCGTTATCTCTGCTTCCACTTAATTTGCTTTCATATCATATCAATGCCCTAATGTTCCATCTTTGTGACAGAATCTCGAGACATCGCTACACAGCAGCTTCGCTGTAATAAAAGAGGCTGGGTAATATGGTTTTCTGGTAACAGTTATAAGTTTCAACTCTTAGTCCTACTAATAACAGCATAAACTTCCTAAGGACTCATGTAAGTTCTAACAAAAGTTTGATTTGAAGCACGAAATTAGTTCTGCTATCACGCTAAGCCTCCACGTTGTGCTCATGACATCAAAAGGACATTTTCTTGACTGTTTTTCTTCACACAGGAACGGTGGCCTTGCTGTTTTTGGGGTAGAAAAAACACCGTCATCCTCGACCATGCATGCCTCCGCCGACCGGACAACTAGCACCACTGCACCAGAGATTTTATGGTCAGACAACTTCACGACACAGTTGGTCGACTGTTTAGTGGAGTGTTTTCCTATGGTAGTCGTACAACCAAACCAACCTTTCTCATCCTCCCTTTGTTGGTGAAGAGGATCTCAGGGATACGAAACTTTCAGCGCGTCCACAAGGTCAGGCCTACAGCCACACACTGCAGAAGATATATGCATAGTCAGAACTCGAAATGCTCCTTAACCACCAGTTACTGGGGGAATTACTGAAAGGATGTTGCAATGGATTCTATACCCTTGGCGACGGCAGAATGTGTTCCCAAAACATCTCAATTGCCTTAGTAAGCTCCCCCTCGTCATCTTATTCTCCTACGGTCTCCGGCCTGCAAGAATGGACATCATGCTTTGTCAAGCTAACTTGGATAATGGGTCCTCAATAAATTAACGACCTATTCATCGATAATTGAAATAAGACAATTGATTAGGTCCCTTGCAATTTAGACAGAAACATACAGGTTCAGCAATCGGCATATACCAGATTTATTCAGCTGCAATGTGGATTGTGGAATCACTCATGCTGGCCTTGTAATCACAACAGACACATCATGGAGACGTTCCGGCCATATATACAGATAAATAAAAGCTCGCGTTCACGCCTTAAAATTTTATCAAAATTGACTAAAATTTGTTGCAGATGATTTAATATAGCAAGCAGCTACTTGATGTCATTTGGCACTACCAAATCAAAATGTGGGCCCCACATCAGAGCCGGACCCCCAAAAAATAAAAGCTCGAGTTTACACCTTAAAATTTTTTGACCGAAATTTGTTGGATAAGTTCAAAATATCATGAAGCTAATATGTGCCAGTTAGCAAAATCTACACGTGAGTCCCACATCAAAAGCTAAAAACATTTCAAGTCAATATGTATGCATACAGTGATATATTAAAAATCAGCATCAAACCATGAGTTCAACCTGTTCAAACCCATAAAAAAAGAACCCAAAGACCAACCCATCCAACCTATTTTTTTTTATTAAACCAAACCCAACCCAACCCGTTAGTTCCTACACATCCAAAGTGCACCCAATTGAAACCCAACCTATTAGACCCATTTCAATCCAACCCATTAGCAGGGTGATCTACAGCAGCCACACACTTGCAGAAGATATATGCATAGTCAGAACTTGAAATGCTCCTTCACTACCGGTTACTAAGGGAATTACTGAAAAGGATGTTGCGATGAATTCTACACCCTTTGGCGATGGCAGATTTTGCTCCCAAAACATCTCAATTGCCTCAGTAAGCTCCCCCTCGCCATCTCATTCTCCTGCGGTCTGCAAGAATGGACATGATGCTTTGTCAAATAAAATGGGTCCTCCATAAATTCACGACCTATCTATTGATAATTGAAATATGACAATTGAGTAGGTGTAGGTCGGTCCCTTGCAATTTAGACAAAAACATACAGGTTCAGCATTTATCAGATTTATTGAGCAGCAATAATGTTGGATTGTGGAAGCACTCATACACTAAGGCCCTGTTTGGTTGGGCTTTTGGCTTTGCCTTTTGGCCCCAAAAGCCAAAAGCCCAATTAAAAGGGCTGTTTTTGGAGGATGCTTTTTTAGAAACAGCTGCTTTTTCGTAGTTCATATTTGAAAGCTGGGTTGACCCTGCTTTTGGCTTTTGGCTTTCTGTTTTTCGAAATTGGTGGAATAAAAAGCTCTTCCATAGTTGTTTCAAGAGAGATAAAGATAAAAGGTATATTTTATACTTGTTTAACCAAACAGCTTTCAGCTTTTCTACAGCTCACAGCCCACAGCAGCTTTTTCACAGCTCACAGCCCACAGCAACTTTTTTCCACAGCCACAGCTCAACCAAACAGGGCATAATATGCATGGCCTTCTAATCAGAACAGACACATCATATAGAGATAAATTACTTGAGAGTCAAGAAGCACTGAGCAAGAGCAAGGAATGAATCATACTTCATACCTCTTCTAACTGTTATGCACAAGCACAATCATCAGGCCTGAAATCGGTGAACAAGGAGGCCTGGCATCCCAGTCCTGTGTCCTGACTCCTGACATCCCTCATCGCACATCGGCTTCAATGTAGTTGTCATCCTCCCAAACAATCTGCTTGTCGCTCTGATACCCCCGAGTCATCCTCCTCGGCGCGGTAGGGATCGGTCTCAGGCGAGGTGATGGACGCGCGGCCGGGCGGCGGAGAAGTGGGCGGCGGGTAGGATACGGAAAGGGAGAAGAAAAAGGAAACTGATGCGTGGCGTGGATCCCATATATAAGAGACCGAAGAGAGACGGACGCCCTCGCGCGTTTGGAGCATGGCCGCGAGTTCATCGGGATCCATCTCCGCGCCCGACGAGGAGGCAGAGTGCGCAGGCTTGGAACCCTTCTTCTACGACGAGGCGGAGGCGGTAGCTGATCACGAGAGGCGGGTGCGGAGTGAGCAGGAGGAGGCGCGCCTGGAGGATCTGCGGAAGCAGCGGATGCAGCAGGCCTATGGTCGGATCCGTGATTGCGATCCCAAGCAGGGCGGCCACTACTTCACCCGCCTCTACTTCGCCGACTTCCGCGAGTTCGACATCGACGAGGAGCGTAAGCACATCGACCCACCTCTCAGTTCCTTGTGATTTTCTACTTTGGTCGCCACAGCGAATTCGTCCATGAGAATCTTAGTTTGCTCGCGACCGTGAATTCGCCCATGAGAATCTCATCTCTGCAGTAGTCTCTTATAGTTATACTTGAATACATAACCTCTGTCAGTCACCCTACACACTACACAGCATGCGCACTTACACTGTAGCGATTTAATAATTGCAAAACAAGAACTTATTCAGAGTCTGATTTGCGGGAAACCTTAACTCTTCTTGTTGTTTTGTTTTCATGAACCTGATTTGCAGTAAACCTTAATTTTGTTAAATTGTTTTCCTGTGCTGCAGCAACCCTTGGTCCAATGAGACATACCAACACGATCTACAAACAGGGCGATTTCTGTCCGCTGCTTGACGCAATAAACATTCTCTCCGTGAAGATAGTATCCTTGGATGTTGATTTCCCAATACATGTCTATGGTAATGGTACTGTCATCGGCAGAGACTCCCTTGACAGCAAGTGTGTTTATGTCTTCCGCCGCGATAGAGATAATTGCCAAGTCATAAACTCTAAGGTACCGTGCCTAGTTTAGCATCCTTCATTTTTAACGGTGAGGTTTTGACATGCATTCTTAACAGTCTCTCATAGAATGAGAATTATTATGTGCCACTAAACTGTAACGAGGACTGAGACTGTGCTACAGAAAAGTTCCTTCATTCTTTACAATAAGTATGAGAATTATTATGTGCCACTAAACTGTAACGTAAACCTTTCTGTAGACCCAACCGTTGATCTTGGAGGGCCCAAAACGAGGACTCGTGCTGTTAGATGATATATTCATTGAGTGATTGAGATCGATCTGAAGATAAGAGATGTGGAGGGTCTTGATGAACAGGTCAAGGACAGAGAACTCAGTAAAGGGTTTGTAAAGATCAGGGGCAGTCGGAGCATTGTGAAATGCCCTGTTGAAAGTAAATCTCTTGCTACCAGGCTCAGTACTGTTGAGGTGAGCTGTTCAGTCGTGAAAGATGGCCTTGAGGCTCTTGTTGCTATTGAAGTTTTAAAGGGATCATTCAGTGGGAAAATCACTGCCTGCACTTCCAACATCCCGCATAATCTCCTTCTTCATGATAGCAAACTTTGCGGTAAGAAGGCTCGTGGCGTTGAAGGAGTTATCCAGCTTTTGCAGCCTGTCATTACTGTCGGTGTGAGAGACATGCTGGTAATTGTAATCGAGACTAGTGATGGCACTTCTAAGCACACCATCGAGTTTATTCCAAGGTACAGCACTACTGAAGAAGATGTTATTGCTGTTGGAACCACTAAGATGCGCATCAAGGTTTCCTGGTCTGTACTGCATTGGTAAGCGCGTATCGTTAAGCTCATCGTGAGGTCCATGTACGGAGTACATCTCATTTTGCCTCCCTCCGCCACTGCAACTATCGAAGACATCTAACCCCATGAGCTTGATGGGCCTAAAAACGTGTTTATAGGATTATGTGTTTGTCAGTATTTTTCTTTATTTGAGTACGGGCTGGCATATGCCAGGAACTCAAGATCATGTCAAGTCCAATTGGCTGTTGAATCCCTCGTTGATGGCTTTGGTTCCTCTCTGAGCCACTCTCACGGCCCAACTGAATGATGATATTTTCCATCAAGTCTTGGACTGGTGGAAACAGTCACGGTGCAAAGCTGGAATAGAGATGAGCTTGGAGGAATTCCAACTGAACGATGAATTGATGATCTTTGCTAAGTCTTGGACTGGTGGAAACAGTCATTGTGCAAAGCTGGAATAGAGATGAGCAAGAAAGAGTAAGATCAATAAGATTGCTCTTGTCGTTTGGAGCAGCACAATCACAAGAATGATGCTTCTAAAGGATTACTTTGGTGGGAGATAGCCAAAAGCATAAGGGTGGATTAGACCAGATGAAGCGGTGGTTCCTGGAGCAACAGTTTATGCCCATTCTCCACGGGACATACTCACATACATTACAGCTAAGGCTTTGTTAGGATTAGATCCCTGTTAGGTTTTTTAGGAACCGGCGATACACATTACTGTACAAATGTGCATACCTGGGTCACACACATTGCATTGCGTATAACCAACAAAAGTGCTCTAGGCTTAGAAATATGCATGCAGGTTTTAAAAAATGGCAAAGCCCTGTGAATCATTCTTCTTCTTTTCTAGACGAGCAATGTCATAAAATTTGTGAAACTTGTATAGGCAAGGTTAGTTCATCAAATCTTCAGCACACTTTGGTGGACGCAAGAGAATTTTTCCATGGCACCTTTATAAGTCATTGACACAAGAAAATTTTGCTTGCTACCAGTAATTTTCACAGTAACTGGTAGATAAACATGTCTTTATACCGTCTTGAACAATTTACCGGTACACAAAATGATACATGACTTGCCAAATGGTATGGCACCAAGGTGATCCAACAATAGATCGACCAAAAGAAAACCCAATAATATTTACCACCGACGGACAACCCAAAATATTATCTCACTTCGGTGCCAGACCAGTCATAGTCAGAGTTCTATGGAGACCTTGTTTTCTTTTGCTTTGGATTTGGGCTTGATGATTCCTTAAAAGCAGAAGGGCAAAGGTTATTGATGCCACACTTGTTGCATTTGGGCCTCAGTGGAGTACAGATAGTTTGCCCAAATCCAACCTACAAGACATTTTTTCAGTTTTTTTCAGCATAGACTAGCAGTTCTGAAATCAAGGCAGGATTCAGATAGCATAGAACAATAACCACTATCTTTAAATCAAATAAAAAAAAAAGCATTACTAAATAAAGTACCAAAATAAGAAAATACTTCAGTAGAGAGATACCAGTAATGGATTTATAGGTTCCCACTCATCCTTGGGTAGCCATTTCTCTAGAGAAATTCTTGTCTGTTCCGGTGTCGTAGTTTTCTGTGCACAACACATAGCAACATAAGCACTATTCCCCAGCGGCCCAGCCTCTGTAATTAGTTGTGTGTGTGTTTTGTTTCCCAGAAGAGAAGACAACATAAATCAATACTAGGCTACCTGTTTTGTTCCTTCCCGAAAAACCCACCCAAGTCGGTTAGAAATGCGATGCACATGAGTGTCAACACAGATTCCTTGAGTATTCTTCCAAGCAATGCTCATCACCTGTTTACTTAAAGAAAGATACCCATGAAGATATTTATGTTCATATTTCAACCACAAAGGACAGAATAAGTAAGATTATTACCAAATGAGCCATTTTAGGGCCAACTCCTCTCAGAGCAAGCAGCTCATTCAAAGAATCTGGAATATCCCCTCCAAAACGTTCAAGACAAATTTTAGAAGCTTCTTTTATGAACTGTGCCTTTTTCTGATAGAATCCGACCTGTTACAATCATGAACAGTATGCTGTGAGTCATTTATCTGAGAAGTTTCTTGTAATCTCTAGCTTCAGATCATCTTGAGCCTAAAGCGATGTTCCATTTCAAATAGTGTTAAGGGCATGTTTGGATCCCACCTCCTAAAGTTTAATTAGTCACTTTAGGGACTAAAGTTCCAAACAAACCGACTAAAAAGTGACTAAAACACTTTAACCCCACTAATCACTGGTGCTAAAAAGTGACTAAAACATTATAGTCTAGTAAACTTTAGGAGGTGGGCCCTAAGTCTGGTATAGTGGTATATTTGCAAAGCCTGTGACGGATAACAAAGCAGACACGTGAATTTTCTTTTTCATGCTTCTAAGTTCATTTCTTTTTTGGGTACATACAGTACAGTAATTTTAACTTATGAACGATGTAAGCATAGTATTCATCCTAATAGGGTGAAAACCTTGAAACTTACAGGTTTGATAAGATTTGCAAGTGTGGTCTCATCAGTCCTCACTATAGCATCGGGATCAAGTAAACCGTTTTCAGAGAGGCGTTCCACAGCAGCTGAAAAGAATCGACTCCAAAATGCAATCAGTACATTTCTGAAGGACAACTATTTAGTAGAAAGACATCAGAGAATCTCATGACAAGGCTAGTTTTTCCTGAATTTCATGACAGAACAAAAAAAAAACTCTTGAATTTCCATAGTAACAATAGATACTTCAGTGGTCTGAGAATTCTCAACAAGAAGACATAACCAATTCTGGATACAGGAAATTTTAAAGGCATACCATGGTTAACTTCATCTTTTGTCTGGCTTGACATCATAGTTGATATCAGAACTGCAAATCTTCTTTCCTGTCCAGGCATAGGAAGAGAAGTATTGATTACAACTGGATCTAAACACTTTACAAATGGAACCCATATGCACAATTATTTCTAGACAAAAAAGGCACAAGTATTATAAAACAGCAAATAAGTGAAGAGCCACAAATGTGGAAAATTTGCAATCTATTTGGCACAAAATTAATGTACAGATTGTTTTATTTCTAGACTCTAGACAGGAAAAACAACAACATTTTCATATTGTAGTACAGCACAAGAAAATTAGCCAACTAGGTGAGCTGCATAACCCCGAAGCTACCTATGTAAGGCCAACCAAAGAGGTCTACCTTTTTCTCTTTATATTTCCTTTTTGAAGGGAGCTCCACTTTGACATTAATATCGGGTAGGAAATAAACTTGGGACATGTCATACCAACAAGGCTCTTTACATAAAATTGTAAAGGTGAAAAGATTATTGTGTGGCAAAAACTACCTTGGGTGGAAGGAGAGAACCGGCTTTTTCACAGCCCTTCGTATCTACGGGGGCTCCACCAGATAACCTCATGCTTTTAATGCCTCCAAGAACTGCCTCCCAGTTATCTGGAGCTCCAACTGCACAAATGGCTACCTTGGTTTTCATATCGTACATGGACATAAGAAAGATACCAATCAAATGAAAGAGGTGAATGCTTGATACAGCAGTCAACAAACCTGGCCTTAATGCATTTATTTTTCATGGTGCAACAATGAAGAATATAGGTTGAAAAAATGCACAGATGTTCAGAATAAGGGAACACTAAGTTTATCCTCCAGTTAAAATTGGAACCAACGAGAAAATTTTAATTGGAGGAATAGTCGGTTGATAGTTAAAGTTAAATTATGGTATTGTTATTTTCTGACCAACGTTGATGATAACAATATTATAATTCTATGAGTTTTATGATTAAAGTTTAAATCTCTGATGAATTTTGCATCAAAGTGACCAATTTTCAGAGAATAGATAAAGATCAAGGAATGCTCTTAAACTAGAGAAATGTATTTTCATGTTTCCGCTGCAATGAAGTTGATTGTCTTCTAATTAAATTCGAACCAACGGGAGAATTTAATTTTGAGGAACACTTCAATGTTTATGTTAATTCCATTTCTGCCCAACGGTGATGTGGAATTAGTGTAAAAGAATGATGTTTTATTCTATTTCTGCCCAACGGTGATATAGAATAGAACATAAAGATTTTAAAGTTTAATGAGCATTATTGTTGAATATTTTTTCAGACAAAAGACTTCCATGTTTTCATTCTTGAAGGCAGTAAGAGAAATGAGCTGGGTACTTGTGACTCAGACGATGAAATGCCTAAGGGCAAGTTATGTATGAAAGAATGACATTGCTTAAGGGACTGTGTTCTCTTTAAAGAATGTCTTCAAAAGAAAAGAATTCTAGGATATTGATCTAAGAAAAGAGATAGATCAATGAGAGTCTTCATTGAGAAATGTCTTTTATGTACTCTCTGTGAAGAAGAATTTATTTTTAGTTTCACTTATGAGAGTTGTAAAAATCATATACATGTTTAATTTGACCAACATTGGATTAAACATGTGTGTTAAAAGAATATTCGGATTTATTTCTGAATTTGATAATTGAACACGAGCCAATCCTGGCATTTATGTCGGTTCAAGGGAATTATCTCGCATGGCGGGAAAAGTTTGTGATAGTACCCGCATGGCGGGAAAAAGCACATGGCAGGGTAAAGTTGGCATAGTACTTATCCCGCATGGCGGGAGAAGGATGTGATGACTCATGTGCTCTAAGTGTATCCCGCACATGGAGAGAAGTTTGGGGTAGCTCTTACGCTATCCTAGTATTGACCGTACACTCTGATTGTGTTATGGTCATTAAGTACTCAATGAGTCTAAGAACAAAAGAAAGTTGCATGTGAACCAAAAGATGAGAATGATATGCAAGCATGACTTGCAGAAGTATTGATAATAATAGACTATGTTGAGTTTTGAAGTGTAATGAGGAAAATGTACTCCCATACAAATTTTGTTTGCATGATGTAATCTTGTGGATGAAGTAAGTAATCAAAGTTTCCTCATTGACAAGAGTTCTGAATATTTCGAAATTGTGGTAGAAAAGTTCATACCACATTTCGAGGGGGAGAAATGTAAGATTAATTAAGAAAGACAATTAAGA